TAATTTTTTTATTTTATTTTTTTTTTTTTTACACTGATCTTGTCAAACTTTTAGTCTTCTCGTTGTTGAAAATGGGGAAAGTATTCTGTTCACCTACTTATTCAGGTAAAGATGGAAGGGAGGTCGGTCTTCTCCCAAGTTTAGAGTTGATATCTAGAGTTCCTGTATTCAAATTATGCCTGTTTAGAGTATAATTGACTATAATTTATATCCCCTGTAGATTTATAAAGTATGTTTTCTTTAAATATCTTAAAGGTATATTTTAATACATACTGTTAATTTAACAAGTAAGCCTTTTGAGTGTGTAAAGTACTTGCACAGTTATTTTTGTGTTCACCAAGGAAAGCCTTTAAGCACTTTCATGTCTTGTGTTTCACCTCTTGTCATGTAGTTGGGATGATTAAACTATTATATGTAGTCCAGAAATTCTAGCAGATAAAATGATCAAACTATAGAGACAAAGTGATTGTCATAGCTGATTTCTTAAGTTTCATCTCCACCCTAATTAGGCATTTATTTTGAAATTAAGTTTGAGGTGCAATCAGTAAAACTGAAACTGTACCTCTCTCATAACTTCCCTCACTTGACACTGTATACTTTCAGAATACTTGTGCCATAACCCAGCTTACTGGCTTAGCTTTTTTCTTCCCGTTGTGTGCATTTCTCGTATTATATTTTACTAAAGTTTCTCTTGTGAGGGCAAGAGTGCTAAGAGTAGTTTTTTGTTTAGGGAATTATATTGGCTTATTCATTGCTCTTTCTGTGAAAGAGCATGAATTAGAAAAGTACTGAAGAAACTTAGTATTGGGGTGGGGTTCTTTAGAAGTGGAGAAATTTACCACAGTAGGAATGGTATTTGTTACATTTGCCCACTTTAGATTTATATAATTGGGGTCACTACTTATTCATGGTTCCAGGAAGCATTTTGAGTGTGAGTACAGAAGGCTGGCTGACACCGTATGGCTTAGACTCAACTCTGGAAAATGCGAAGTGTGGTAGAATTGTGTGCTATCTATTGTTAGATTTCTACCTGATGCCTAGATAATGGGTATCTGCAGTTGGCTTTAATCCTTCAGTGGCAGTTTTGGAAGGCTAACAAAGTGTGCTTTCTGGGATACTAAGTGTTATATCAAATCTGATTTTATTTTTAAAAGTTTTACAACAAAAAAAGACCTAATCTCATTTTGACCTGTAAAGTTTATTGTGATGGGATTTCATTTGTAATTTCTAGCACCTTAGTGAAATAATATTAGGTTCTGGCACAGAGCTTCTAGAGAAGGGAGGGTGTGTTTATTTTTCTTCCTGTCAGTGGTACCTCTCACTCTGCTGGACACCCTAGGACCATTTATTGTCCAGTGGCGAAGGCGGTGGACAGCTCGATGCAGTTTGCTGAGTAGTCGGCATGTCTGGGGGTAGCAGGACTTAACTGTGGCCACTGCCAGTCCCTTACCAATGCCTCCGGCTTGCCCTGTCCTGGAGAGCCTCCCTCCATTCATGCAGCACTTGTGATATATGTCCACGTTCTTTAAATTCCCTATTAACCGTAAAAACTACATAGATATAAAATTGCTTGTTTCTCTTATCCTTTTAAAGAGGTTAATTTACATAAGCATCTTCTTTGACTAGTATGAAGTACTCCTTTGTGTACAAGATCATGATGATCCAGCCATTGATGTGTGTAAGAAGCTGCTTGGAAAATACCCAAATGTTGACGCTAGATTATTTATAGGTAAGTAAATCTTGCACCAACCATTCTGCTTTGATAGGGTTAAGTATTGTAATCTTTTCTGTAGTAAACTATAGATTTAAGGCATTGTCCCCCACTGAAGTTCTTAGCATGTTTTCATTTTGTTTTTAAGAATAGCAAAAGGTGTTTAGCCTCCTTCAAGATTATAAATAAAGGGTTTTTTTTCATATCTGTGATTAACAAAATAACCAAAAATATAATTTTTTTATCCACAATCAAGATTTATATAAAAGTATCTTTTCAGTGTGTGCTTTTTCTATATGTGATTGACTATAATTGAGAATAAGTAATAGAGTTTACTTAAACATTATAAAAAGAGTATTTTTCCTAAAGTCTGTATGGCCTATTCTAATTTGTAGCCAGGGATATAGTTTAGTAGCACAGTGCCTGCCTGGCAAGCACAAGTCCTGAGTTCATTTCCCAGTACCCACAAAAATAAAGCCAAGACTTGTAGACATACATTTACTATTAAAAAACATTTTTTTAAACATAGGTCTGATTTGAACTTTGTTCACCAAGCTGATCAGTTTTGCAGTGTTCTTCTAATTGCCACAGCTTTGATATGTCAGACAGTTTTTTTATCCGCTTTTACAGTTGACAGAATTTATTGGTTTATAGCGTATAGTAGTATATTTTTAAAAATGGAAATACAGAATAGCTAAATTAAGCTTATTAACATGCATTACCGGTGTGCTTCTTTATGGTGAGAAATCTGCATTCAGCAATTTTCAGTGTTCAGTGCCTTCGTATTGTATAGTGATTATGTCATAATTCCCATTAAATATTGATTCATACTATTAATGCAAGAATTTAAGAATTAAAAAACTGAAACCATGGATTTTCAAAGGCATAATAAGGAATGTGAAAATGTTTGAATGACTAAATATGAAAATACCTTTTTCTTTTCTCTACCTGTGTCTTTGTAATGGAATCCTCAATATTTCATAAATCTTTTACTGCTACACTTCTACATTTTTAGGTGGCAAGAAGGTTGGCATTAATCCTAAAATTAACAATTTAATGCCAGGATATGAAGTTGCAAAATATGACCTTATATGGATTTGTGATAGTGGAATAAGAGGTGAGATTTTTCATATTCATTATATAAAACTTCATTTAATGACAAATGCCCCAAAAAAGCCAAAAATAAGTTCATCAGTCCTTTTTGTTTGCCTAATAACTTACTTCATCACTTTAATGGTAATGTGTCCAGTGAGACTTCCTTCAATTTTAATTTCTTTTAGCCTACCCTATATTTTATATTATATATGTATAATATTTTCCATTTTGAAAAGAGAATTCCTCCTTTTAATGCAAGAAGTCGTAGTCCATCACACAATCTATACGCTTTCTGATGTGTGGAGTGTTTCCCTTGCTTGTGTCCCACTTTTCTTTTGCTTGAATCTGTGGTGGCTTATTTAATACACTACTTCTCACAGAGGGACAGAAATGAGTACGCTTTTCCTAAAAGTACTGCATTTTATTAACATGCATGACATGTCTTCTATTTTGATGATTTTTAG